ACATCCCTACATTACACCCATTCCTATTACAGTGTGGGGACATCGTAAACTCAATTCCTATTACAGTATTGGGACATCCCTACATTACACCCATTATCATTACAGTGTGGAGACATCCCTACATTACACCCATTCCTATTACAGTGTGGGGACATCGTAAACTCAATTCCTATTACAGTATTGGGACATCCCTACATTACACCCATTATCATTACAGTATTGGGACATTCCTACATTACACCCATTCCTATTACAGTGTGGGGACATCGTAAACTCAATTCCTATTACAGTATTGGGACATCCCTACATTACACCCATTATCATTACAGTGTGGAGACATTCCTACATTACACCCATTCCTATTACAGTGTGGGAACATCGTAAACTCAATTCCTATTACAGAATTGGGACATTCCTACATTACACCCATTCCTATTACAGTGTGGGGACGTCGTAAACTCAATTCCTATTACAGTATTGGGTATCCCTACATTACACCCATTCCTATTACAGTGTGGGGACATCGTAAACTCAATTCCTATTACAGTATTGGGACATCCCTACATTACACCCATTATCATTACTGTATTGGGACATTCCTACATTACACCCATTCCTATTACAGTGTGGGGACATCGTAAACTCAATTCCTATTACAGTATTGGGACATCCCTACATTACACCCATTATCATTACAGTGTGGAGACATTCCTACATTACACCCATTCCTATTACAGTGTGGGAACATCGTAAACTCAATTCCTATTACAGAATTGGGACATTCCTACATTACACCCATTCCTATTACAGTGTGGGGACGTCGTAAACTCAATTCCTATTACAGTATTGGGTATCCCTACATTACACCCATTCCTATTACAGTGTGGGGACATCGTAAACTCAATTCCTATTACAGTATTGGGTATCCCTACATTACTCCATTCCTATTACAGTGTGGGACATCCCTACATTACACCCATTATCATTACACTGTGGAGACATCCCTACATTACACCCATTCCTATTACAGTGTGGGGACATCGTAAACTCAATTCCTATTACAGTATGGAGACATCCCTACATTACACCCATTATCAATACAGTGTGGAGACATCCCTACATTACACCCATTCCTATTACAGTGTGGGGACATCGTAAACTCAATTCCTATTACAGTATTGGGTATCCCTACATTACACCCATTCCTATTACAGTGTGGGGACATTGTACACCTATTCCTAGTACAGTATTGGATATCCCTACATTACACCCATTCCTATTACAGTGTGGGGACATCGTACACCTATTCCTATTACAGTATTGGGTATCTCTACATTACACCCATTCCTATTACAGTATTGGAACATCGTAAACTCAATTCCTATTACAGTATTGGGTATCCCAACGTTACACCCATTATCATTACAGTGTGGAGACATCCCTACATTACACCCATTCCTATTACAGTGTGGGGACATCGTAAACTCAATCCCTATTACAGTATTGGGACATCCCTACATTACACCCATTCCTATTACAGTGTGGGGATATCGTAAACTCAATTCCTATTACAGTATTGGGACATCCCTACATTACACCCATTCCTATTACAGTGTGGGGATATCGTAAACTCAATTCCTATTACAGTATTGGGACATCTCTACATTACACCCATTATT